GTGTGTGTATATGTGTACATCTGCATACACACACAGGCACATATACAGTTTATTGGCTGACAGAGCAAGTGCTGATTGGCTGGTGATACTTTATGAACTTTAGATTCACAGTCATGAAAGCATGCCTATATATATTGCCACTGTAAGCAAAATAGTTCAGTGTTTCTGTAAGGGCTCCTCTCCTAACTTAAGAAAGTGAAGAATGGAGTATTTCAAAAGGAACATTCAATTAAGAAGGATGGAAACCATTAAAAGCAGAGCAACATCTGAATCCCCTTAGGCAATGCTAAGCGGAGAGCTTGTCAGAGGCTTTTTCGCTAAAAACCTTAGCCAAGTCTTTGTATTCTTTGGGTATCCCCTGGGTTGGCATAGTGTAAGCGGGCATTGCTGTTTCTTTGTGCTCTGCCCCCTCAGTTTTTTTGTGTGGATTCTCAGCAATAGTCATGTGCATCTGAACTTTTATGGTGCCTTGCTTCCAATTAATTTTGGGGTTCCATTTTTTCAGCCATGCAAGGCCCAAAACTAGTGGCCATTCCATGCCAAGCGCCACTATAAATGTACATATTTCTTTGTGGCTCCCAATGCCTATCTGTAGAGGCTCAGTGGCAAAAGACGCTGGCTCCCCCTGCTATTGGCCCATCTAGTTGGCAAAAAGCTATGGGGCTTTTCAGTTTCCTTACATTTATACTCAACTTTCTTACCAGTATTGGGCTGATAAAACAGTTGATGCATCCCGAGTCCACTAAAGTGGAGATTTTTATCCCCCTCTCCCAGTTGGGGATAAACAATCTTAGGGGGAGGGTAAGCGGTTTAATTGGTTTAAGTGGTTCATTCTCTGGGTCGTTTCCGAATGAGTATAGTTCCTCCTGCTGAGAAGCCAAGGCTTCCTCCTCAAAGAGGGGAGAGGTGGAAATTCTATGATCTCCCTGCTCCTCAGGGCCGTCTCCTTCCCACGCTGGCCAGGTTTCGTAGGTCCCCCCCCATGGGCGCTCTGGTCTCCTAGCCGGTGTTTGAGAATGGCATTCTGCAACTCAGTGCCCCTCCTTTCCACACTTGAAACAGGCTGAGGTTTTAGGAGAAGATGCCATTTGCGAATTGAATGGTTCTTAATTCCATTGGGGTGTGGATTTCTTCCACACTCGCCCTGCTCGGTACTGGTTCCTGGCCATATTGATCTCAGCCTCCTCGGCAGTTAGATACCACTAATGTAGTTGGTTCGGTGCACCTCGGGCCACGCAGGCATTGTATTGGTCATCACTCATCCCATCCTTGAACCAGTTTACCAAGATATCCTCTTGCCAGTTCACATGACAAGCCAGGTCTAGGAATTCTTCGATATACTCTGCCACTGGCTGCCGTCCCTGCTTCACAACTTTAATGCAATCGCATGTTTTGTGGTCTGCGAGGGGGTCCTCAAAACATTGTCACAGGGCCATCATGAAATGGTCGAAGTCCCGCAGTTCTGGCGCATTGGCATCATGTAGGGTCATCATCCATCTGGCAGCAGCTCCTTCCAGGGTTAGGGTAACCACCTGCACTCGGAATCCTTGGGTTTGAAAATCATGCCCGTATTCTTGCATGTAGGTGAGCACGTGTGCCACAAAGAATCCCAATTTTTGCAGATTCCCATCAGACTTCACCCAAAGGGAAGGAGTTTTTCTTTCTAATTGCGGGTTTTGGGGTTGGGTATGAGTGGGCCCCAATCCACGGGCTAACTGGGGGAGAGGGTTTGCTGGGTCCCTTGCTGCTGCTGCTGCTGTGCCATCTGCTTGATCAGCAGGGCTGATCAGAGGGGGGCAGGCCCCTGGCATCATCCGTGGCTGCTGACTTTCCCATGATTCTTTGCTGCCGTTCTGGCTCCCCCCGGATGTTGAGATTTTTCAAAATCTCCATCACCAACTGGGTTACATGTCTCTTCAGATCCTCCTTCAGTGAGGCTTCGTTGAGCTTCTCCTGGTCAAGAGGGGGCTTCTAACTCCTATTTCCACTCTGGTTTTCGGTTACCACGGGTGAGGGTGACTCCTCTGGTCCTCCCATCCCAGCTGTCTTTTGTCTCAATGCCAATCGACCAGCAGGGCTTTTGGGGGTCCTCCAGGTTCACCTCATCCTCTCCGACAGGGTACATGGAGCAGGCCTCTGGTTGGAGGGGAGGTTGACATCTCCCTCCAGCCTTCAGCTTCCCCTTGCTCACTATTGTGCTCAGACATGGTTTGCAGGGTCCCCTCGGTAGAGCAAAAATTGCTTCTCTGGGTTGACCATTTTGCAGAGATGTTGCTTTATGTAAGGGCTCCTCCCCTAACTTAAGAAAGTGAACGAAGTATTTCAAAAGGAACCTTTTATTAAGTAGAATGGTAGCCATTGAATTCAAAGCAACATCTGAATCCCCTTAGGCAGTGCAAGTAGAATTAAAGCAGTAGAGACCCCTCCCATTAGTTAGAATGCAGATTTTAGCCAATACACAAGTGTGATGATGTTTCCTTTATCAACTGCCCTGAGAGCCAAATAAATATACATTCCCATGGCTATCTTCCATTAGACATTACAGTGAAATGTCCCACATGGCCATCATAAACATTCCCCCAAAAGGTGAGGGGATCTTAAGACATTTTGGCACCAGGAAACCAGTTGTAAAATATCAGTTGCTACAGGCATTGCTAATAAATCAACTCCAAGGCCCCCCCTCCTCCCAATTGAATGGCAGTATCACTTTTAGGGATCTGACATCCTATGAAATAGGTGACATGCAGAATACTGACCATTTCTGGATATTGAATGAACATTTTTGCATAAAATATTTTCTAAATACACATACCAAAAGTCAAACATTTATGCAAATTTAAAACTTAAGCCATATAATTAATCTTACCTAAATTTTGCCACATGCTGAAGATTTCATATCCCATTGTCACTCGCATATCACCATATCTGTTACATTAAAAATCAGATTAGATCATTAATAATCTCACTTTATCGTGAAATTTACTTTTTGTATGTTTGCAGCCAGTAAGCATTTTTTTTTATTATAGAGGGGAAAAAACCAACAGAATGTTTTCACAAAATATTTATTAAAGCAGGAAATGAAAAGCAGCTAGAAAACCACAACACATCACAGAAAGAACATTTCTGGACTATTCAAACACTGCACTTGCCTCCAATAACAGACAAGTATTTGTGGAAGACAACTACAGATATTATTACAGACAGTTTGATGTTGCTCATGTTCCTACTGCTGAAGAATCAAAGTGGTTACATACTGTCATTTCTAACAAGTTGCTAAATCCCTATTATGATACTGGCATTCCTGTAGGGAGCGGGGCTGGATACATTTATTAGCTTATTGCCCTCTTTCTGTTTCCTATACATCCTGTATTTCCCTAGTTGATAGCCTTTATCCTGGCACCTATGTGCCTTATGCTTGATTTACCTTTGGAGAATGTGATAAGGGGAGAGGGCCATCTGTTTTACCTCAGTTCTGAAGCCTCCTGCAAGAAGTGCCTGGGAATAGCTTCTTATTTCTTTCTCGGGCCTACCATTCTGACAACATCTTCACACCTGTGGATTGGCTCATTCAACATAGAAGTGAGGGGAGGGGTTTCTAACTGCTTTAGCCTAACTGAATTGCCTGGGGGTGGAATTTAGATCCTGCTTTCCTTTGTCTTGCAATCACTTCCTTTCAATAAAAGTGTCCTTTTGAAATGCTGCTGTTCCATGAGTTCATGCTTTCTTGAACAGGGTGGAGAGGCAGGACCTTACGTAAAGCAGGATCTGCAAAAGCGGTCATGCCGGAGAAGCAAACTTGTTCTACCAAGGGAACCCTGCATACAATATCCGAGCAAAGTGGCGAGCAAGGAGAGGAACCAATCATACCCTCCCTTAAGGAGTGGATATAACAACTGTAAAACATGTGGACAGTAGTAAGACTAGATTTGAGTGAGGATAGGGCCGCCTTTAAAGTTCAAGCTGACAAAAAAGGGCAGAATCAAAGCTTTTTAAAATAGGTGATAAGGTCTACTTATCCACCAAATTTCTACAGTCCTTATAACCCGCTAAAAAATTGTGACCCAAATTCATAAGACCTTTCCCTATCACTAGAATCATCAATCGAGTAACAGTAGAGTTACTACACCCCAAAACACTTAGGCAAGTCCCCCCAGTGTTTTACTGTGGCTTACTGAAGCCAGAATCACCTCCGCACTAAGACCACCAGCGGCCACTCCTCCTATCTCTATTATGGTTGGGGGAACAACACTTTGAGATTAAGGAAATCCTGGACTCCCGCACACCCCAAGGCTCCATGCAACACCTAGTAGCCTGGAAGCATTTCCATCCCTCTCAAAATAAAGGGGGTAGCTAAAAAACATGTTAGAGCTCCCACATTACTGAAAACAAGTCACTTGCAATATCCTAACAAACTTAAATAACTCGCTGTCATGCTTCTCTTTGTGTTTCTTTTGCAGGTGGATTCCTCCTTTTTCTAAGGGGGGGGGAACCATGTCAGATCCCTATTGTGATTCTGCCATTACTGTGGGGAGGGGGCCTGGATACATTTATTAGCTTATTGCCATCTTTCTGTTTCCTATACATCTTGTATTCCGCTAGTTCAGTGTGGATGAACCTTTTTGGCTCCGAGTGCAAGCACACACACACATACATAAGAGTAGTTCCCTGGCATGCAAGGTGAGCTTCTGGTTTTCAGCGTGCACATGCATGCTGGTCACCTGGTCTTCCGGTTTCTGGCATGCATGCATGTGCAAAGGCCAGCTGGCCAGCTGGCGTGCATGTGCGTCATTAGAAACCGAAAGCTCAGCTTCCTGGCGCACACCTGGGAGCTGCTCTTCTGGCTTCCGGAGCTCCCGCGTATATGAAAATCAACTGGCCAGCACACATGTACGTACCAGAACATGGAAGAGCAACCAGCGACGGCCGGGGTGCCCAGAGAGATGGCTCTGCATGCCACTTCTGGCATGCGTGCCATCGGCTCGCCATCACTAATGCCCTAATTTACAGCCTTTATCTATGTGCCTTATGCTTAATTTACCTTTGGGGAATGTAATAAGGGGAGAGGGCCATCTGTTTTACCTCAGTTCTGAAGCCTCCTGCAAGAAGTGCCTGGGAATAGCTTCTTATCTCTTTCTCAAGCCTGCCGTTCTCACAACATCTTGGCACCTGTGGATTGGCTCATTGAACATCGGAGTGAGGGGAGGTGCTTCTAACTGCTTTAGCCTAACTGAATTGCCTGGGGGTGGGGGAGCTTAGATCCTACTTTCCTTTGTCTTGCAATCACTTCCTTTCAATAAAAGTATCCTTTTGAAATGCTGCTGTTTCAAGAGTTTGTGCTTTCTTGAACAGGGAGGAGAGGCTGGTCTTATACAAGTGCACTCTTCTTAGGGTTTGAATTGATATTTTCCTGCAAGTTATTTCCATTAATTTCAGTGAGCTTTAATCATTGAATTAAAGTACTGTAAATCAGATAAGACTTATTCAAGAGCACTGTGATTGTTGTCAGGTACATCCCATTAAAACATACTTAAGAAATCAAATGTACTTCAAACAATTCTGCCTTGAAAAACAAAATTCTGTCTCTGTAATAATCAACAGCAAATCTCAGCAATGAAAGTTTTGACAGCTTTCAATCTTAATAACATTTTGTACAGAAAAAAATAAATGCTACAGACACTGATTTTCTCTATTGTTTAAAAAACCCCAACAATTATACTTACTTTTCTAGTACCTTTTTCTTCTTAGAAGGTGTGAACATTTCTAACTGTAGACACAACTGATTTATAAATATGACAGCAAGGTAAAAATAAGAATCCCAAATCTGAAAATAGACAACAATTTGATCATTGCATTTCTTTTAAAGATACTATTAGTGTAACTCAGGGATGTCAAACTCAAGGCCGGCGGTCCAGATTGGGCCTATGAAGTGGTCAAATCTGGCCTGCGGGGATGTCCTGGAAAATGCAAGTGACCGGCCCACGGAGCATCAGCCTGCCCATCCCAGCAGGTGCATGTGTGCATGCTTCACTCTTCCAGCAACAGTTGAAGCTTGTCTGCCTCACCTCAGCTGGCATTTGTCTCTGCATCTGACCCATTGCCATTGCACCCTGGTCTTTCCTCACTTCTTCGCCCTGCCTTTGCCTCTCCATTCTGTTTCTCACTTTCCCACTTCTGTGCCTGGATTCTCACTCCTACACCTTTGCCTCCCCATTCTCTCCCTCACTTCTCCACTTGTGCACCCAGATTCTTGCTCCTACACCTTCTCCTCTGTGCCTGAGCCTTGCTTCTTTGCCTTTGCCTCTGCTCATGGATCCTCACTTCTCAGCCTTCTCCTCTGTGCCTGGCCTCTTCGCCCCAGGCCTTATGCGGCAGAAGCACTGGCAACAGCTTTGCCCTTAAGGAAGGAGGTAAGCAGATCCCCCTCGGAGAAGCTGGGCTTGGCTGGGCTAGGCTGGGGTTTGCTACAGGATCCCAGTGCTGGAGGGCTGGGCTGGGTGCTCGCCCACCATTCTTCAGGGCTCTGGAGTGGAAGTACAAAAGGGAAGGGCTTGCTCCAGGGTACAGTGAGGGTGGCATAGGAGATACCGACTAGTGGCCCCAAACCCTTCATTGGCATATCACACACGTTAAACCACTGACACCCAACACCTGATGGGCATCCTCTCCCACGAACCCCCATCTCCTTGCCCCCTGAGCCCCCAAAGCAACCATGTTCCAAGGCTTTGTAGGAAATGTCTGGAAGTCAGTGGAGGGGGGCTTTGATCTCCCCCAAAGGAGAGACCCACAAGGAGGTCCTAGGGATCTAACCAGCATTGCCTACAAAAGCTAAACTTTGGATGGATATTTCAGGCATTTTGAACTCTATTTCTGAGCTTCTTGGATGTTGGAGAGAAATATTTGCTTTTGTCACATAATTATATTTATGCAATCCAATAATTTCTCCCAAACTTAATAAAGCATTAGTAAAGAATTATAAACATATGTGTTTTAAAGAAGCATTATCCTGGTTACATCTCCAATAGATTGCTGATTTTGTAATTCTTTTCTATATAAATGTAACTGAGTCCAGTAAATTATAAATATTATTTTTGTTGTGCAAATCATTATGTGAGACCCATTGGCATTCTTGCAATAGAAATTGAAATACTTAGTTTTTAAACTGGAAAGATAAGGCTGGAGAACCTCCTCCTAATATAAATGCTCACAATTGAATCCCTATTTCAATTGTGATATCTAGGATGTGTGAATATGATAACACTGCCTGTTAGACAGCACTACCCATAAATATATAAAGATCAGAAGTTATATTTCACAAGGGCATTTGGCCTGTGCAGTTGGCCTGAATCTGCCTTAATGAAGGATTCCATCTAAAGATGAGTTGCTTTGTTTTTGTGGTAGAAAACTTAAAGGGATGCCAATAATTGCAAAGTTTTAAATAATCATTGTATCATTTCCAAAGCTAACAGGTTTCAGTGAGTCATTAATCTCTTGTACACAGATAAGCCAGGGGCAGGATTCCCAAAATTTATATTTATAATTTTATTAGAAATTACTCGAATGCAGATAAAATACCACTCATAATTGGAAATAGAGATTCTCTTTTGAGAAGAGCCAGCCTCCCTCATGCAGGATTAGGGAGCACTGTTCCCCTACCACCTCCTCTCGCTCTCCAGAGATTTGCCTCTGGAGGAAACTGCTTCCTGCAAACTCTCTCATTCACATTTCCACACACAGCAGCAGCGTCCTCCACCTCCTCCTTGGCTGGGAGGTTGCACCACACAGGGAAATGTCAATGACGTCTGGGATTAGGAAAAGAACATCTCCTTTGGCATGCTGTGAGCACACACAGACACAGACACACACACACACCAGTGGTGGTTTTCTATTGGTTCACACCGGTTCTTCTGAACCAGTAGTTCTGCCATCAAGCAGAGAGTGAACCGGTTCTCTGTTGTTTTGAAAGTGGGTCTGCCCGCCCATCCCTGGGTTATACCTACCCTTATTTCAGATTCTCAAGCTCAGGTGATCAGGAACGGCAGATTGAATTGCCACTCCTCAGCTGTTTTCCTTGCTTACCGAGCAAGTTTCTTTCAAATGTGCAAGCACACGCTCAGAAAACCGGTAGAAACACCAATAGAAACCCACCACTGGCATACATACATACATACATACATACATACATACATACATACATACATACATACATACACCATTCCAAATTT